GTTCATATCCGCATTTAGATGCCTTGCGAACCTATAAATGTTCGATCGCGAAATTCAGCAACTGGCTTACGCCAATGGCCACGAATGACTTTTTGCTAAGCACATAGCTCTAGTGTGCGCCGGCCTTTAAATCTTCAATCCTGTGCAAACTACGACGTGTCAACCCGCCCATACACGACCACATCATCTTGTTAAACGGCGAAATAGCAGCGATATTATTAAAATAGGACCAGAATCTACATGTATTAAATATATTCTTACCCCAATTCAATCTAAACTTAATCGAGCAGCATGAAAACAACGGTTTATTTGTTCCTCTTGGAGGAATTGCCGTATCACGCGAGCGAAATCGAATCGCGCATCGGAAAATTAGCCAAAGCTGTACACCACAACTCTTGGGAGATAAGACTGGGACGCAGATAAATACGGTTACATATACATTTCAAATACTAGAATGTTTCACGCCAATTCAGACTTGCGAAGACGAAAAAAAAAACAAAACCGGGGCGAATTTTCAACTCCACGTAGGTATTTAATACTGCAAAGCTTTCAGTCGATTGATCCGGGCCTTCATGAGTGCAATTACCTGACTACACATCAACACGTCACTTAAATATCACCACAGTTAATAGAATATGCATGGTTTGGAGACTAAATAAAAGTACAATACAACTCATTAACTATGTTATTGTCCACGTTTATGCAAAAAATGGTTCCTTTTTCGTCACGTGTCTATTGTATTTTAGCGAAATTTACCAATGGCATTCGTCTTGCTAAGCTCTTCAACCTTGACTTTAAAAATATGTTAATTATAAGATTGCCATTGGTTTATCTGTGCAAAATAAAATAGACATGTGATGAGAAAGGAACAATTTTTTGCATAAATCTACCTCAACATAGTTAATGAGTTGTATTGTAGTTTTATGTGGTCTCCAAACCATGTATATTCAATTAACTGTGATATCACGTTCGTCGTGTTCCTTAGCTCGCGCTGTTAATTAAACCGTTTCACTTACCAAACAATTATGAAAAAAATTAGTTCTAATCAATGCGCGTTCGCTCTAGACACGTATCTAGCTAGCGAACACTGAAAAGAGCACGCCACGTACTATTAAAGTGCCTATATCACTTGTGGGATCTTTACGGATTTGAATAGGGCTCAATAAATTTGTTTATAAGTTCTACAACCTTTTTTGATATAATTAAATAGTTTCGAAAATACGTCGGTTGGGGGGACTGGGACTCAGGAATGATTTGCAAACACGCCGTCTTTTATAATATAAACATGAAGAGTTTCACTAGCGATATAGTTTGCGCTTTTCAAGAGAAATATGCGGGAACGGAGCGTGTGTATGGCTGTATCAACTGGGCGCGTTTTTCTCAAAATAGTTTACGTTATTGGAAGATCGAACTTAAATTACAATTGATTATATTATATTTGACAAGAACTCGGTTCCTGAGGCCCAGGCCCCCGACCACAACGGAAATTTAGGCAAATCGTCATGTTTAGATGTACTGAATATTTCCGAAACTATTTAACCATATCAAAAAGGGTTGTAGAACTTATAAACTAATTTTTGAAGCTCTATTCAAATCCGTAAAGATCCCACAAGTGATATAGGCACTTTAAGTGGCTTTTCTCTTAGGCGAAAGTTTGATGTTTATAGATTTCAATCGATTCGTTCTCTCATTTTACGAGAGACGATATACTTTTCATTCGCCAAAATGGTCGCATCTTTCCATTCAATTAATGGCGCGAGCTAACACATTACGACGAACGCAATATTTTAGTGACGTGTAAATGTGTAGTCAGGTAATTGCATTGATGAAGACCTGCGTTAACGAACCGAAAGCTTTGCAGTATTAAATACTTATAAGTGGTGTACCTACAAGGTAATTTACTTATATAGCTACATATGTTCGTACACTACCATAATTAAGTTGAAACACAATACTAAAGTTACCTCTGTCCCCGCAGATCCGTTCAGCATGGAACGAAAGGTTATAACTGGGAACTCACATGATTATTATTTATTCAGCTGTGGTGCTATGCAAATTAATAGCACTTTTACCCAACCCACGCAAAACATTGTTGTTGTTGTTCAATAATTATGTAATATGTTTAATATTGTTTAAAAGCAAAATTTACACATTAAACAGCTGAGGATAAAAACATATTGTGATGCATATTATTACAAAACAAATAGAATAATTACACTATACTTTGATATAGTATTGAAATAGTAAATTACACATAATTTAAGATAATATTGAAATATTATAAAATAAGCTATATCTTAAGTGAGTCATTAAAAAGTTCATATGAACTGAAACAAACTGTTCGTAAACCGTTCAGTTTTACAATAATAATTATAACACAATTCACTATTCTGCCGCGTGACTCTTTGCCTTGTCTCGGAAAGTTTGTCTGGGAGAAGATGATGCAACTTGTGTTGAGGATTAGACCTATTATGTATGAGATCAATGCACATCTTAATTCGACATTCTTGAAGTGATTGCATCCCAGCTTTCGACAACACACTATGATTGTCTTTTCAAAGTAAAATTATAGTAAAAGTAAAAGTCATATTTTATACTCAAAGCATTCTCATATATCTTCAATTTTTCTGATATGTAGTCATTTCTCGTTATGATGACTAATGGTTATCGGTGCCTTCTAAAATTCAGACTTCACAGAAAAATGACGAAATTATTAAACTGATAAAAAGAATATTTAAGTAGGCATATCTTAATACTTACATGACATAATAATCATACTGTACTCTTAGAAAGTACAATCCACTGCTAGCTGCTTTACCAATCTTTGTAGATCCTATGCATTTGTCAGGTATATTTTCTATAGATTATTCTATTATTCACAAGAGTTTTATTTTAAAGTGACATGCATATAGCTACTTTATATTCGGGTTCTGACGCGAAGTCACAAATCACTGCAGTACATACATCAGTAAAATAATTATAATGTACAATGTTCTAAGAGAACTGCTCTGCATTGGAGTATCGCTATAATAATTAATTGTTGTCAAATCGTTATTCAGTAATCTGCCCGGGGACAAAAATAAGTTCTAGAAAATGAAATAGTTGCAAATGCTTGCACCAACCGTCGGGTTCATTCCTCCTCGTCCATTGAATCTATGCTAAGCAAACAATTTCCTAAACTATAGGGTGGAAACTTGCATGAAATAAACCAGTCACCCAAATCAGATTTTGTACAAAAAATAGCTATTTATGAAAGCGAAGTAAAGACTAAAGACATACCCATTATTGTAACTATGTTGATCACTGCATGCTGAACAGTGCAGTTATTGGTATGGAGCTCTTTATAAATCTTTTTGCAATGTCGATGTCCATCCCCAAAACTAAAATCAAATCTTGTGTAAACGTTGATGCAAGTTAAGCTAAGCTAAATTACGGCCTCGTGAAGATGCTTCGAGTAAGAGCATCATATAGAACTGAACACCTAAACAATGCAAGTTTGATTAGCGAAGCGCAAGTCAGTTTGATCGACAAGCAACTGCGCGATACCTAAAACCGGTCAGTGAAAATAATTTTTTATTATTAATCGAGGGTTAGTTAGCAAATTAAAAACGAAACAGCAATCAGAAATCCGGTGGTCAAGGAAATTCTATTCACCACAATAATATTGCACAAGACATTATCGTGTATATAACAAATTAACAACAAAAGGTACACTCCATTTATATCTAGTAAACGGATTTGGATATTGAGACATGTAACTGTACATGTAAATGAAATTATCCCCTTTATGAATACACGTTACCAATTCTAACAGCAGCTAGTATTAATGCGCTTGAGACAGCATGAACAAAAAAATAGTATCCCAATATCACAAAAGTTTGCATCATAGCTCAATCTTTGTTTGACCTCGATCGCTCGCTAAAGCATCAACCTATAAATCTTCAGTAAATGTAACTGTCTTTCGTTCCGATAGGGAAGTGGATTATTTGCTATATAGATCGATCGAACGTAAAAATCCGCTTCGACAATAAATGTCCAAATATCAATGATGGTTTATTAAAGATCAACATGTAAAAACATAAGAGAAAAATATACATGAGTTACGCCACGTTCTGATCATTTTCAATAATCCGTTAAGCGTTTATCCGACCTCTTTCCCCAATAGCTAACCCTTTTAAAAAATATTTTCAACAATATTTAGCAACGACTACCGAGCTACAATTTTCGGCCTCGCGTAACACAAAACCACGCTTTTCTCTCCTCCCCAAAGCTAACTTACTCATAATTATTCGGCAACAAAAATCTCGGCATAAGTCATCGTACTAGATAACGAGATATAGAGCGCTTTTTTGACCGAAAATAGAATTTTTGCAATTGACTTGTGCAATTACACGCCCGAAGTCTAAATACAGTTATCACGTGAAACAAACACGTCGCGCATGCTGTTCTGATTGTTCCAATTCTAATAACAGCATTTATGTTTATGTTTCTTGCTGGTTTTGGCAGTGCGAAAATAAAACTAGACAAATATCACTAGGCTATTGATGTTTCCAGACTCGCAAGGGCGCAACCAAATAATTATTATACTCTATCAAGCCACCTTAAACGTGTTGAAAAGTAGGCCGCAAATATATCGATCCATAGATACAAAAAAGACAACATTCAACTTTTAGCCCTGAGGATTTTGTATTGTTTTGCTTCATTGAAGGTTGAATTTTTTAGCGCTACGCGTTAGCTGTGAGCGTCCATAAATAGTCTGCCTATCAGCGGATCGATTAAAAGGATCACTTTGATGACTATATATTTGTTTTCGAACAATAGGAATATCTACTACCAACTGATTTGAATTGTTACAATACGGTCTTGGCAAGCTCAGGAAATTATTTGATACGTTTAAAATGGCAAGGGCTTGTTTGAATGTATTTCAAGTTAGAATTAAATGACATAATTTGTGAATATTTTCAGAACATGTACAAATCATCATGCAGCTTGGATGTAAGAAACTGAAACAGAAACTCAAAGGCCACATGAGTGCAACGTTTGCAATAAGAGATTTTTTCAATCAAGCCATTTAAAAAGACATAAAAGGACACATACGAGGGAGAAGCCACATGAATGTGATGTTTGTAAGAAGATATTTCGTGAAAGGAGTGATTTAACCAGACATAAGAAAATACACACTAGAGAAAAACCTTATAAATGTGATTTTTGTAAGAAGATATTTTCACATGTTAGTATTTTCGTTAATCATCAAAAAATACACACTGGAGGAAAGCCTTATAAGTGTGATTTTTGTAACAAGCGATTTTCACGCAGTGACTGTCTAGCTATACATAAAAGAACACATACTGGAGAGAAACCTTATGAATGTGACGTTTGTAAGAAGAGATTTTCGCTTCGTAACAATTTGGTTCGACATCAGAGAACTCACACTGGGGAAAAGCCTTATGAATGCCATGTCTGTAAGAAAAATTTTTCACGTGCTAACAATTTAATTACCCATCAAAGGACACACACAGGCGAGAAACCTTATGAATGTGATATTTGTAAGACGAGATTTTCGCGTAGTAATCATTTAGTTCGACACCAAAGAACTCACACTGGAGAGAAACCTCATGAATGTGATATTTGTAAGAAGAGATTCTTACAGTCTGCTGGCTTAGCTAGACATAAAAGGACACACACTGGAGAAAAACCGTATGAATGTGATGTTTGTAAGCAGCGATTCTTACAGTATGGTGGTTTAACTAGACATCAAAGAACACACACTGGAGAGAAGGATTATGAATGTGATGTTTGCGAGAAAAGGTTTTGTACTTTTGCTCAATTGACTGGTCATAAAACAACACACACAGGAGAAAAACCTTATGAATGTGATGTTTGTAAAAAGAGATTCGCGCAATCTAGTAGTGTGGCTAGACATAAACGAATACACACTGGAGAGAAACCTTATGAATGTGATATTTGTAAGAAGAGATTCCTACAGTGTGGTGGCTTATCAAGACATAGAAAAACACACGCTAGACAGAAATCTATTGAACTTGATGTTTGTGAGAGAGATTTCGAGATTCTTGTGACATGATTATTCTGCGCACCTTAAAAATGTGAGTGAACTTAGAGTAAATAATGTTTACGAGAATAGATATTAACAATAAGCAGGCAGGCATTTCTTGATAAAGCCTATGAAAATCGCCAGCATTTCTACCGATTAAACTCGATGAAATCTTGGTCGCCCACTGCATCATGCACAGCATCAGAAAATCAATGAAATTTGAATAATTTAGTTGGCCGCGATAGTCATCACCTTGACATGTCTTTCAAATTTGACTGCCAAGACATCGGGTATAAATACATCCTTTGAACTTAAAAAAATAGTCAAATCATTGTGTTTTTATCACACAGATGTAAGACCAATTTAACAAATAACTAAAAGGAAAGGTATTGAAAAAAGAAGCTTCAAAAAATATAAAATGCAGGGAGTAAAAAATGAATGAATTATAAGCCATGATAATTAATAAATTGATTTGAATTTGACAAGGCAAACAAGATAATATATTAACTAGGTTTTAACAGTCACCATCATCAGATGTTGAATGTTGATGTTACACTGTTTGCAGCAAAAATCTTATTACTTTGTATCACCATACCCTCTCAGCACTTTTGTCAGTCAGATCATGTTAATTAATGCTTGAATCTAGTAAACTCAGTGGGGGGAAGGTTTCCCTATTTACATTATTGTTTGCTATCATGAAAACAAAATAGACCAAACTCAAAGATTGACAATGCCAGGAATTTAATTTCTTTCCAACACAAGTCAAGAAAAATGATAACGTTTAGCTATATAACATTGCACATGTACCAAAGGTCTAAAATAGTATATTTGCTGTTTGTACCATAAGTTTTGATGGATTTATTATGGCTCAGAACCTTTAGCGGTGATCAGTTTATATTCGAGTCCAAAGGCAAAAACTGAAATTGTTATAAAAACCGGCTTACCTGGATGCTATAAAATAACAGCCAATTGAGAGGCGTCAGCGAAGCTCAAAATCCCCCATCTTTTTGCGGACAGGATTTCACCTGTGATTTGGCCTGTGGTTTGGCTTGTGATTTCGCCTGTGATTTGGCCTGTGATTTAGCCTGTGATCTCGCCTGTGATTTCGCCTGTGATTTCGCCTGTGATTTCGCCTGTGATTTCGCCTGTGATTTCGCCTGTGATTTCGCCTGTGATTTCGCCTGTGATTTCGCCTGTGATTTCGCCTGTGATTTCGCCTGTGATTTGGCCGGGAAGCGGCAGCAAGTCCCCCAGGAATTTTAATATAGTTCAGTGGGCGGTAGTCATAGAACCTGTCAAGCGGGTAAGAAACACCCATGCAGTCGCCTGCGTCTACCGAATGACAAAAGTTGAGCTATCGACTCAATATACGTTCCCAAACCCCCAACTCGCGCAGCCGTATGTGCTTCCAGAGGTTGTTGTCAAGAATAGGGAGCTGGCTCACTTCGCTCGCCTCTTCCAAATCATACTTTTGAAGGAGGACAGCGATGTCAAGCCTCTCTTCCTTGAGGAAAGCATACCCCACACCTTGGGCCCAAGATAACGTAGAGAATGTTTGCCATATGTTACTGTACTAAATCTAGGTACTGAAAAGTCTGAGTGTCTAGGATTATTTTGAGACGTGTGTTCTTTCAAAATGCTGCAGATATTAGGCGGACTTAACTTATGCTTAACTTTATACATCAATATATGCACACTTCTTGTAGGCGTCTATTCAATAAGGTCGGTAGTTTCGCTCTTTCTAGCAATTGATGATAGGGAGAGTTCTTATCCTTAAAGACTGCTTTGAGTCCTCTTTCTTGTAGCCGTCCCAATTTCCGCAAATCACTTGCAGGATCACTTACAAAAATGCCATGCCAGATGGCAGTACGGGAGGATAGCTGCTTTGAACAGCTGCAGTTTCGCAATTGTTGGTATTAAGTTTCTCATGCAGCCTCATTAAGACACCAATCTTCTGATTAGCTTTCCGGCTTAAAAAGGGTACTTATATATGATTACTGAAGTCCAATTTAGGATCAATTGTCACTGCCAGAAGCTTCAGTTCCTCAGTTGTTTTGATGTCCTTCCCCTTTATGGATAATATATCCTCTGTACACCACCCGATATTCATCATCCGATACTTCTCCAGATTTCCCATAAGCAAGTTCGAATCATACCATTTTGTTGCTGTCTCCCCACTTTCTTTTAATTTTGAGATGACTTTACTTGAGTCCTTGCCCATGTGAAATATCTGATGATTAAATAGTCGGTTATATATTCCCAAAACGACATACGTCGCAGCAAACACGAAATTTAAAAAAAAAAATAGGCCCCCACTTCTTCAAGGATTATAAACTAGGATCGAGTCATTCCTTTTTCTCCGCTTGTCGTTCCAAATTCACCAACTGTTTCTTTGTTCTTCTGATAATCCTTTAATCTTTTCCGGATGTTTATATACTTATATTTAATTCCATATTTCATTTTGATTAAAGTTTACGAAACATGTTTTTAAAAATGTATAGTTTCCAAAATGACATTTAAAATGCTGCCGTTCTCATTGAAATACAAACTTTTTGTCCAAGGCAATCAGCAAATTGTAAATTACCGTCCTTTATCCGTTCAAATCTCGCGTATGAGTACAAAAACCATAGGTCCAAGGTCAATAACATTTGGGCAACTTTAGATTCCGATATGTTCTGTCACAATCCTCGAGTGTAATTTCTAATCTCCGAGCGGATTAGTAATATTGTTCCCTGAAATTGTTATTAATATGAATTTGTTGAGCGCAAAATAGCAAAAGAATGTTCAGATGCGCTATCAAATCTTATCTAAATAATAGGACTGACCGATATATAAATTACAAGATTAAAATTGAAGTAATCAAGGCTACAATATTAGTTCTAAATGTAGATATAAGAAGGAAACAATAAGAAACGTCAGTTAATGTCATGCATAAGCTATGCAAAATAAATGAGTTTTTCATTTTTTTTTTAAATTACGAATTGCAATTAAGTTTCTCAGTTCTTTTGGAAGACGATTCCATAAATTTGCTGCTGCAAATTTGAAGGCTCTATCTCCGATTCCGTTAAATGATTTCTGAGGCGGTACATCCAAAAGTATTTGCTTGTAGGTAATAATATAGCGGTTCCCTGGTTCGAATATAAAGTGCGAAATAATAGTTTTTTCATTGAAGCTCACCTGCATAGGGCAACAAGAGATCACGTGATCAGTTTCAAACGTCTTGCGGTCTACAAGCAATCCCCGGGCGTAAAAGCACAGTCATTTAGTACGAGATCAAAGTAATGCTTGTTTTTAAAAAGAGAGATCTTATGAACAGAGTAAAGCTCTACGAATAGAGGTAAGGAAGATCGATATGATCGTTAAACAAGGAGGAAATGTCATGCCTGCAAATACCATGCATGGAAAACTCGCTTCGAGCAGTGACACGCCTTGGCCAAGGGAGGGTTTTTTCCACACGAACACGTGATAGTCCTATGAATAGGTTGATCACGTGATAGTTTTATTGACATATTTAAACCTTTTAGCATTTTCGCAGTTTACTTGTGACAATAGCTCCCTCGCAAGGCGCTCCGCACCATCTCTGGGATTACCATGCTTTAAAATTGGAAGTAATCCAATAGGTCTTTTTAAAGAGAAGGAGCTAGCGATAACAAACTGTTCGCCGCGGGCTTGTGTGTTAGAATACCTTTAGGATGGGAGTTTCGTGCTCGAAAACGAGGCTAGGATCAGTTTTCCTCCAGCGCGAAAATTTGAGACTATAAAACAGCGTTAAAGTCTAAATTGTACATAAATTGTTCCAATAACTCCTGTGTGACGGCGTAATGCCATGGTGTGAACAATTGGTGTGAATAAATTATGAAGCGATATCGTGAAACTGTTACAACTCGACCAGCGACGCGTATTTTCAAATTCATCTTCGTCTTTTCAATCTTTTTCCAAGTAAGTAGTAATATGTGATCAAGTGGCTCCTGAAAACGACGGTCGTTAATGTTTAGCCAACTATGAGAATTCTTTGTTAACGAGAGAGTCCAGACAGCGACTTCTCTAGAGTCACTTGGAAGACAATCAAAAGCTCTTAGACACCAACTCTTCAGCTGTTAAACACTTCATGAAATGAAGAATAGGAGTGGAAATAATACGACAAGTACTATAGGCATTATAACTGCATGTATTTATGTAGTCTTAATGATAAAGACTAATTTCTTTCGCAAAGAAATCTTGGTTTACGGTTCTACCGTTTTAAGAGGTCATTTTTTTCGGCGTATAAAATTATTATATCGGCATATAGTTAGATAGGCATAAATGTCAAGAATCAGTTTCATTGGCGAAATAACATCTTGTCAGTAGACGCTTTTATTCACCAAGCTACAGCTATTACCTGCTTTGGCATCTCTTATAACCGTCACTGAGAACTGACGTGGTCTGTCGCGCAAAATTAACTAACTGTAAATTATTAGTTGTCGACATTCACAAAATAGTTGTCGACGGCCTCATTTTTTGGCTTTTTTCTACTGTGTGAAAACGTTCTTTTAGTATCGACTGCTTTTAATGTTCGCGCAAATTCAGTTGCTAAATCAGTATTTGAGCGCCAGTGTGTGGAATCCGTTATCGGACTTAATTATAGTTATTGCTAAATTTTTGTTGTTGATCACAAATAGTTGTCGACAACTAAATCCCCCAATCTGTGGAGGCCCTAAGACGTTACCTCTTTAAAGAATATTTGTTAAATTTACCTAATATTAATATGCCTTATTTTGCTGTATGAACTCAATTATAGAGCTCTTAAATGTATTCTGTCTGTCGCCTGCTTCACACAAAAGGAAGACGTTTTATCCAGCTATAATTTAAACTCACATCAAACAGCAAAAACAGCACAACGCTGAAAGGAATGCTAGCCAACATGCTACTTAACTTTAATATTATAGAGAAAATTGCATTCCAGAAGTATACAAAAGCTCCAAACAGTGAAGACATAACCAAAACGATATAGCTACTATATTAATCACTTTGCTAAAGAGGAGGGGAGATAG